AGCATATTTTATTTTATTTTATTGTGCTGTGAATATACATAGCAGAAGAAATGCCAACTCAACAATTTCTACATGTACAATTCAGGGACATTAGTTATATCCCTCAAGTAGCACAACCATTCTCACCCTCTGAATTATTCCAGCTGATTCCTACCTAACTATTGATGTTATTGATTTGATTCCAGATAGGTAAATCTTAAAAGAGCACAATGTTCAAGGCAGCCATTCTTTACTCCTTAAGCTAAATTATTGTTGGGTTTTAAAAAAACATCAAGGACTATTTGTCAGGTTACAATTTCCCACCAGATTATCGGAAGCTCATGTCCCAGTCATCTGAGTATCATAGCATAGCACAGTGTCTGGCCGATAGGGTATGCTGGATGGCAAATTTTCTGCTCTATGGATGCTACAGCAAAACAAGTAGTTGTCAAAAATGACAATATGAACTACGCACACCTTACTCTCTTGACTCAGGGCCAGGAAAAAATACAACATAGGATAACTACAAATTGACAGCCATTTATTATGCTGTCTCGTTTTCATTCACCCACCTTTTCCTTTAGACAGTCCTCTGATTGAGCTGCTATTAGCTTAAGATCAGAGGCTGGACCACAGCAAGATCAGAGGGTGATCTGAGGTTGATCCTACTTAGCTTAAGATCAGCTGCTGGACAAGCAAGTGGTCTTGGGAAATTTCTTATCATTATTATTTCTATCAAACAGAAACCATTTCCCTCTTCAACAACAACAACAACCCTGAAGCTTTTAAAATTCAACATAAAGTTGAGGCTATCTGCTCACACAGATTCATATTCTCAGAAACCCTATACAGGGTCACTATGAGCCTGACTTGATGGAAGTGAGTGGGTACTGTATTAACCACCCACCCTGAGACACTGAATGACATTCTTTTTAAAGCCTACAGCCCTAACCAAAGGGAACATCTCTTCCCTCAAACAACCAGCCATCAGGAGCCAGCTGTTTGCACACAGTGGGGCTGTATTTGCTAGTTCTGGTTCACCACGCCTCAGGTTGTTCCTAGAGGCACATTTCAATTCAGCTCAATCAATGCTTACTGTTCCCTGTTTGAGGCTGGGATCTGTGCCGGACACTGAGAATACAGGGAAAAATGAGACATGGCCTCACCCCTCAGAGGGAAGCTGGTCATCAAAACAGAGTAAGACACCTATGGCTGAAGAAGCACAAGGAACTAGGGTAAGTAAGCTGGGAAATCCAGGACGACTTCTCAGGAGTGGTCCATTCTTGCCTTCCTCACCCTGCTTCTTCAGTGGCGTATAAAAGTTGAGAAGTTGGCCGAGTAAAGAAGGGAAGAAACTTTTCTAGGTAGCTAAAAGGCATGTGATAGGCCTTGAAACAACAGGATGATTTGAGGTCCAATACAGTTAATGTGTGGTATCCAGGAGAGGGACAAAGAGGCTAGAGAGGAAGATGGGGATCGATGGCAATATGCTGTTTTTTATTTACAGCTAAGGAGTGGGTCAGGGCATGGTGTATACTGACAATTATCTGACTTAGAGGGAAGAAAACAAGAAATTAACAACAAAAACCACCCAAACAAAACTAATTTGATTCCTTGCTAATTTATGTGGACTTTTTTTTATTTATTTATTTTTACTTTATTTTTTTATTATTATTTTTTACTTAATTTTTTTACGACTCCGCTCCCGGGGTCCCGCGCGCTCCCACCCGATTGGCCCGAGGAGTTGCCTTATGTGGACTTTTAAGAAGAGGAATGTCCCAAAATATAACAACTCCAGTAACTCCCTCCAAGGTGTCACAACTCAGATAGGGTGTAAATCACTCCTTCTGAATTTTAGGAGCACTTTGTACTTTTCATTTAGCACTCGGCACTTTCTGCCTGGGAGCATAGTTATCTGAGTTGTATTCCTTTATGGGTTCACCTGTTCCCTCAAAGTAGGAATGCGTTCTAGTTCATACAGCCTGTAAGATCACAACCCACTCTGAAAAGGCAAAGTACACCTCAAACAGTGCCCAGCACATACTATCTGTTCAATAAGTATTTCATAGCACCATAGAGTCATCATGGCATGATACCAGGGCTGAAATCCAGTCCAAAAACCATACTGTTGAGAATGAGGGGGGTCGGAACTAAGACCCAAAGCCCATTTAGAGACCATGGGTCACAAGGAAGGGATGAGTCAACTAGGGCGAACTATAGCACCGATGAAACACGCAATACTCCTCTGGTTCCTTGAGGCTTCCTCAGCCCCCACCATCATGACCCCAGTCCTGCCTTTCATGGCGGGCTAGACCGAAGCATGTGCACAGGTCACAATGATCGACACATAACCACCCCACCCTCCAGGGGGACAAACAACAGAAACCATGGGGGAAGGGAGACAGCGGTCAGTGTAAGATATGAAAATAATAATAATTTATAATTTATCAAGGAGTCACAAGTAGTGGGGAGGGAGGGGGAAAAAAAGAAGTGCTGATACCAAGGGTTAATAGAAAGTAAATGTTTAGAAAATAATGATGGCAACATATGTACAAATATGCTTGCAACGATGTATGGATTGTGATAAGAGCAGCCAATAAAATGATCTTTTTTAAAAAAAATCATTTTATTGGGGGCTTGTACAACTCTTACCACAATCCATGCATCCATCCATTGTATCAAGCACATAAAATGACCTTTTAATTAAAAAGAAAAAAAAAGATAGTCCAGTACAAATTTTCCAGTTTTTATGAAAAGCCTGATAAAGGTTTATAGACTCTTCTCAGAAAAATTCCTATACAGAAACATTTTGCGTATAATTTGTTACATATGTAAGCCATGTGAGTTCAATAAGGTTAACTTACTGAGAAGTAGCAGAATGAACCTAGAACACGTTTCCTGCACCCTACAGTTCTCTTCCCACTAAAAACTAAAACCAAGCTCACTGCCACAGCGTGGACTCCAACTCGTGGCCCCGTTGTAGAACCGCCCCGACAGGTTTCCAAGACCAACTCTTCACGGGAGTAGAAAGTCTGTCTCTCCCAACTGAGCCTGGCGGTTTTGTATGGCTGGCCTTGCAGTTAGCAGCCAGCACATAACCCTGATGCTACCAGGGCTCCTCTTCACACTACAAAGGCATCATTTAGTAGGGCGTGATTCCTCAGACCTACCATGTTTCTTTCGTGAAATTCCTTGATATTAGGATAATGCTGAGGAGAACATGGCAAGGTAAGTGGCTTCTGAGGCCCACGGACAATCAATGGTGTTGGATCTCTGCCAAGGCAACAGAGAGGTGATAGAGGTACAAGATCGAAAGCCAAGGAAGTAAAAGTGATGTTGAAGTATCCCCACGAAGAACAAAACCTTCCAAACTGTACTGTTTACAGGAAGTGAAGGGATCAAGGTTGAAAGCCAGATCTGATTTTCAGGCTAATGCTGTGTTCACCCTACCACAAAATCCCTTGGGCAATCATAGAAATCTAACCATCACAGAAACAATCCTGCAGTTAGGGCCAGATAATGGACTAAATGTTCTTAAAATTCTCAGAACTAACTCCCAGCTATCTGTGACAATAAGTTCACAAAGACCGTGTATTTTTACATCTGCAATTTAAAAAAATCAGCTATTTGCAGTCCACATGGAAGAAGCACACCAGCTTGTGTGATCATGAGATGTGGATAGGATCAGGTATCAGGCATCAAAGACCCAGAACAAAAAATTCTATCATTGTGATTTGGGGGGAGTGCAGGGTGGAGACCCAAGGCCCATCTGTAGACAATTACACCTCCCCTTACAGAGGGGTCACAGGGAAGAGACGAGCAAGTCAGGGTGTAGTATAGCACTGTTGAAACATACAACTTTCCTCTAGTTCTTTAATGCTTCCTTCCCCCCACTATCATGACCCCAATTCTCCCTTACAAATCTGGCTAGACCAGAGCATGTACACGGGTACAGATAAGAGCTGGAAACACAGGGATCCAGGACAGATAAACCCCTCAGGACCGATATTGAGAGTAGCTATACCAGGAGGGGAAGGGAATGGTGGGGGAAAGCAGGGGTAACCAATCACAATGACCTACATATAACCCCCTCCCAGGGGGATGGACAACAGAAAAATGGGTGAAGGGAAACATCAATCAATATAAGACATGAAAAAATAATAATATATAAATTATCAAGGGTTCATGAGGGAGGGAAGGTGGGGGAGGGAGGGGGAATAATGAGGAGCTGATACCAAGGGCTCAAGTAGAAAGAAAATGTTTTGAAAATGATAAGAGCACATCCCCACCCCCAGCCAGTCTTGGGCTTTGGGGCTCGGCTTAAGGCGAGTCCCTCTGGGACATGGGGGACAGTGAATGGTGTGACCCTTTGCTGGGCATGCCTACACAGTAGGGGATGCTGGGCCCCTCCAGGGTTTCCCGTATGGGCTCCAATAAATGTCTTCCCTTTTGCTTAAAAAAAAAAAAGAAAATGATAAGAGCAATGAATGTACAAATGTGCTTTACACAATTAATGTATGTATGGATTGTGATAAAAGTTGTATGAGCCTGTAATAAAATGATTAAAAAAGAAAATGATGGCAACAAATGTACAAATGTACTTAACACAATGAATGGATGTATGGATTGTGATAAGCGTTGTACAATATCCCAATAAAATTATTTTTTTTAAATCAGCCATTTGGCTAACAAATAATTTCCCTCTACTTATCACAAATCATTCATTTTCCTTCAACACTGAATTTATCATTTATACTCTCAGAGCTACATTGGATTAATAGTAGGAACTATTAAAAATGATCACAACTAGTAAAATTACCTCCCCGTCTCACTGTGATAACTTGGCCTATGGACAAGACAAGAAGCTGTTAGCAATATCTCCAATCCAGATAATCCCCACTCTAAATAACCAAAGACTGTGAATAAAGACACTCCTATCTCTTCTGTCCAATCAATACATATCTGATCTTCAAGTCTGCAAAAGCTGCAAACTAAAATTTTAAAGGTGCTCCTCCCCTTACCTCTTGTGCTTGAATTAAATGCTTGTATCTTCCAATGCCATGGGTGGGCTTTGATCTGTAGTGCCGACTGGTATTCAGCAGAAAGCCACCTAGAAATGAGAAACAAAGATCAAACCGTTTCTAAGCTCCTCCAGGGGGCAAGCAGATTGCACATGAGGAGACAGATTCTACGTAGCAAGAATGGCGAAATTTGGAGAGAGAGGGACACTTGGTTTAAAAAACCAGGGTATTTCTTGATTCTGGGCAAAATTTCAGTTTACCCATTTTTCTCTCCTTTTGGCACCTAGGATATAGCTACTTCCTAGCACCATCCTTCTTTGAGAAGTTCTCTCCACAAGAGCTACTGTTGAATGAGGAGATAAAGTATTTCATATTCACAGAAGGCTCTCCCCTCCTCTTGTGCCGTAACAGGAAACAGCGATTTTAAAGTTTTCTAATGGGGAGTGGAGGATTTCTTAGCCCCGTCTTCTCCAAGCAGGTCTGCTGTGTGCCGGGACAGAAACCCACCTGGCTTCAGAGAATTTCACTCTGTTCACAGTCTACACTATTTCACCAAGAAAATGAGGGATATCCAACCTGTAATATCCATGGCATCACATTTATTATTACATGGCAACAACTGTATGGGCACTGGGGCATTTACAAAGAAGAATGAAGCATGCTACTTGTCTGTGAGGCAATCAAGGTAGACTGGCGAAGGGTGATGGGAAGGAGATAGTGACCCGACAAAGTGTAAAATACTTTTATAAAGCTGCGCACGAACGAAAGAACAACTAAATTTACTACTGGGGCGAAGGAGGGGGAAGGACAGAGTGAATGTAGTGAAAAGGTTCAAAAAAAGATATTACAGCGGTGTTCCTGAAAGAGTAGTAGAAATTCACCATATATGGGAACCCACTGCCATTGAGATGATTCTGACTCATTTTTAAAAAACAAAACAAAAAACTCACTGCCATGCAGTTGATTCTGACTCACAGTGAGAACTACCCTCTGTGGTTTTCTGAGGCTATACATCTTTATAGGAAGAGAAAGCCTAACCTTTTCCTAGAGATTGGCTAGTAGGTTTTGAACTGACTCATACCAATCCTATACAGGGTGACCAATGCTGTAAATCTTCATGGGGACAGCTCACCTCACTGATTATAACTGAGGCATCCCCTTGCTGCTATCCCAATTCCATCTCTCTGAATCAATACCTTTAACCTTCTGTCTTCAGGCTCCACATTCTACAATTGGGACCTCTCCCAAAGAGGTGATATCCGAACCCTTTTAAGGGTACGTTACCAGAAGCAGATTGCCAGGCCTCTCTTACAGTACTGCTGGATGGGTTGGAAACACCAGCCTTTAGATCGGCAGTTGAACATAAACTGCACCACACAAGGTCCTAGGCACAGGCAAAGAAGAGAGCCTGTTAATGTGGCTGAAGCAAAACGAGGGGGTGCAGAATGCACCACAGATACAAGTGGTGAATCAGAAACAACCATGGTGGGTCTTGTTAACGGCCTGGACTTCATCCTGAACAACCACAACAGGGAAATTATATGGTCTGATGTAAGCTTTTAAAAGATCTCTTTAGTTGTATACAGATTTTTTTTTTTTAAAAACACATTTTATTGGGGACTCTTACAGCACTTATAACATTCCATACATCAATTGTATCAAGCATATTTGTACATATGTTGCCATCATCATTTTCTAAACATTTAATTTCTATTTGAGCCCGTAGCATCAGTTGCTTTTTTCCCTCCCCACTTCCCTTCCTCGTGACCTTATATTTATATTTCTATAAATATAATTTATATAAAAAATAAATTATATTTCCACATCTTACATGGACCACTGTCTCCCTTCACCCACATTTCTGTTGTTCGTACCTCCCAGGGAGGGTGGGGGGAGTTATGTGTCAATCACTGCTCTCAGTTCCCCCTTCCTCCCCTCCTAGCCCCACTTTCCCTATTCCCTCCTGGTATCGCTACTCCCATTTCTGTTCCTGAGGGGTTTATCTGACCTGGATTCCGTGTGTCGTGAGCTCTTATCTGTATCAGTGTACATGCTCCGGTCTAGCCAGAATTGAAAGGCAGGACTGGGGTCATGATGGTGGAGATGAGGAAGCCTCAAAAAGGCCTCAAAGAGGAGTCTTGTGTGTTTCATCGGTGCTATACTGCACCCTGGTTGATTCATCCCTCCATTGTGACCCTTCTGTGAGGGGCTGTCTTATTGTCTACAGATGGGTTCTGGGTCTCTGCTCTGACCTCCCTCATTCTGAACAATATGTTTTTTTTGTTGTTTGGGGTCTCCTGGTACCTGTTACCTGATTCCGTCGACAACTCATGATCACACAGGCTGGTGTGCTTTTTCCATGTGGGCTTTGTTGCTTCTCAGCTAGATGGCTGCTTGTTTAACTTCAAGCCTTTAAGATCCCAGATGCTATATCTTTTGATAGCCAGGCACCATCAGCTTTTTTCATCACATTTGCTTATGCACCCATTCTGTCTTCAGCGATTGTGTTAGGAGAAGAGAGAATGTTGATGGAACATTACAGTGGTCCAAAACAGCTAAGATATTGGTGGTAGTCTTCCTGTACCCCCAGTATCCTTTCCTATTCTATTTTTATAGCACTGACAGTACTGAATCCTCCTCTTTATAGTACATGACAAAATACACCAACAATTTCTAAATGGAAAATTCAGTGATATTAATTACATTCTTCAAGTTGTACCACTTTTTTTGATAACCTTTTTCAAATTATTCCATTATTGTTAGCATAAACTCATTGCCTCCTAAGCATTTCATCTAACCTTTAGAATTGCTGTTGTTAATTGGATCGTAAAGATAATTCTTTTAAAAAGCACAACAATGAAAGCAAACATTTCTTACGATTAAGCTAAATTCTTGTTTGATTTAAAGATAATTTCAAGGAACAATTTTGGCTTAAGGTTTAAAGATCTCCTCAGAGCAAAAACAGTTTTATTTTGATTTGGTTTCTGGGATTTAGGATCATCTAAAACCAATGGCTCCAGAAAATAGGGAGTCCATGAGAATGTGAAATTCTTTTTCAACTCTTTCCCCCTTTTGATCAGAATTTTTACATAGAATCTTTAATCAAAATGTTAAGTAACACTGATCAGATAGACTGGTAAACTATGGCCAATATGGGGCTGCATATTTATCAGTAGGATGAGAGGGCAGCATTTACCCAAAGACAAAGTGAAAAGGGTTAGGAAAGGAGGAGGAACAGAAATAGGAAACAGAGGGAGGAAGTGGGATAAGGGATGGAACACTATTGCAAGGATGAGTTAAATCCAAATGTCTATGAATTGTTGAATGTGAAACAATGATCTGCTCTGTCAGCCTTCACCTAATTCACAATAAAAAGTTTGTTTAAAAAAGGTTGTAATGGTGGCTGGGCACCATCTAGTTCTTCTGTCTTGTGGCAAAGAGACAGCTGTTCAGGGAGGGGATGACACACGCATTCCGCTCTTACAACAAAGCATGAGCACAAATCTAATCATGCTGTTCTCTTTCTTTTAGTCATTCAGCCGTTAGTCATTCTACATAATTGCAGAGACGATAATGAATACAGGAGAGAGGTCTCTGCTATATTTCAAAATCTCAATGGCTTTCCACTGCCCAAAGCTCAAACTCCTTAGGTAAGCAGCTAAGGACTTTTATTTTGTAATCTGGCTCCAATGAATTTATTTCCTCATCCTCCCACTCCTCCGGGCCTTTAAAATTCTACTCCCCAGCCACATGGCTACTTCTGCCGCTGTATATAAACCACGCAGTTTCCATGCCTCTGTGCCTTGCTAGGCTGTTTCTCCTGCGGGGGCTGCATCTTCTGACTGGTGGACCCCAACATAACCTCTGGAGTAGCTCAAGTGCAACTTTCTCGGCAACATTCTTCTTTTGCCAAGATCATCAAGAATTTACATTTCAGTGGTATAGCTCTCCCCTGTCTCCATTAGAAAGTAAAACACTAAAAAAAAAAAGGAAAGTAAAACATTTTGTGTAAATAAAAGACTCATGCCAATCACCATTTTTATGTACCAGAAACTCACTCACTCACAGGACCAAAACGGAGCTGTGAGAGGATAACGCATTTTAGTTAAAAGTGCAGCAAATGCTCGGCACAGCCTCCAGGCTACTGGAATGCTTTGGCAAGGAGGCATTTTCACAGGCAGTGTGGGGCAATTCCTATAATTAGAGCAGCTGGTTAATTAAGAAGTCGGTTCAAACCACTGCTAAATTAACCATTTTCTATCTTAAATGAAAGGTTTTGGTCAAATTACCAGTAGTTAAATTGCTTAATTAGCCAGTTGTCTTCATTATAAAATTTATATGCTGGAAAGCCTCTGGTTTCCAATGAGTTCAACTGCAGGCGGGGCTGTTTTTCAACCTGCTCTGTGCCAGGAGGCTGAGTTTCCTGCTAGCACATCAACTCTGCAGCCTCCTGCGAGAACTGACCCCTCTTTTCACCGAATGAAGACACAAAACCCCAGGGTTTCAATAGGAGGCTTTGAAAACTGTTCTGTTACTACAGTTGCAAGGTGTAACTATGTATTTATTGCCTCCCACCACCCCTTCACCAGTCTTGCATTTACATAGTGCCTGAGCCAGCTGTCCTTCAATGTCCTTGTTTACTAAATTAGAGACTAAACTCCTCAATCCAGGATTGAGGCAAACAGCTCCAGTTTAATTATTTTCCCTTCAATATTGAAGCAAGCATTTTCAGCAGGGTTGTGCAGGTAGAGATAAAGGAAAAAACGTAAGCAGCCCAAACAAAGAATCTAATTACGGGATATTCTCTTCATTCAATAGACTGTGAGGTCCTCAAGGGCAGACAATATATGCTCAGTAGTTGTATATTTCAAAAGGTTATTAAGATATTTTACCAAGACAATCTGCAATGCCTTGTTCCTGGCAGCTGCCTACTTTTATCCAAAGTCCTGTTCTTTTAAAATTTCGTTTCGTTCTTTTAATGAACACGGGAACTACCTGGACTTGTACAGAGGGTTCTGCCGTCCACAGGGTGGCTTTGAGTCAGAACCAAGTGAACAGCACCTAACAACAACCGCCTGGACTTGACTCACAGCTGGCCGATAAGCAGAGAACTGCCCCTGGAGGGGTCCAAGGTTCTCAGTCTTTACAGGAGTAGAAAGCCTCATTTTTCTCCCCAGAAGAGGCCAGTTTTCAAACTGCTGACCTTGGGGTTAGCAGCCCAATGGGTAACCCGCTGCGCCACCAGGGCTCCTGTGAGTTGGAACCGACTTGATAGCAGATGAGTTTGTTTTTTTGTTTGGATCTGGACTTCAATATACCATGTTTCTTACTTGTTTGCTCACATTCTAATGAAGGCACTCTGAGTGCCCTTCATTTTACCTCCTTATGTACGTGTACAACTTCTTCTCTACGTACAATTAGACCAATAAGAAAGGATAGTCAGTATAGTCAGGCCCATCCTTTGGACCAAGATGCTGGTCCCACACATGTCCTGCACATGGTACCCTGAGCCCACATATATGAAGGTAAGTATGGGAAACCATTCTTACACGGTTTCTGAACATCATTGTAATTTTTTTTACTTTGAAGATATATATGATAGAAAAATACTAATTTTCTTCTTTCAAAAGGTTCTTCTACTTATAGAATTGAGGCGATGGCCCTTACCCTTCAGGGCTAGAACGGAACTCACCTCCATGTTAGAATAACCAACCATTGCAGCCCTGGTGGTATAACTGTTAGGTACTGGGCTGCTAACCACAAGGTCATCAGTTTGAAAACGCCAGCCAATCCATGGAAGAAAGACAAGGCTTTCTCTATAACGAGTTATGAAAAGGAAGATGATTCCTGGTGGGGACTGAGCATGATAGTGGGACAGGAGGAGAATCAATGGAAATAGAGGAAAAAGCTGGGAGGCAAAGAGTATTTATAGAGCTCTAGATAAAGACATGTACATATACAAATATATTATATGAGGATAGGGAAATAGATCTATGAGCCTACATTTATA